GGCCCCAGGAGCCGCCCCGCCGCCGTCGGCCTGCCTGCGTCCCTCGGAGGCTCCCCACCAGGCCCCAGGCAGGATGCTCGGGGGCCACCTTCCCAACCCAGACCGGGACCTGGCCGCGGGCCCAGGGCCTGCCCCCACCCCCCACTGTCAGGGCCCCGAGAAGGGCCCTGTGCTTCCCTTCAGCATTCCGGCGAAGATGTGCGGTGAGGACCCACGAGCTGGGGCCGAGCCCATCACCCCACGGCCTCCAGCCAGGCCCAGGCTGGAACGAGCCCTGTCCCTGGACGACAGGGGCTGGAGGACGAGGCGTTTGCCCAGCAGCCAGGAGGACCTGGCTGCCCTTGGTGAGGCCAACTCCTCCAGGGGGCCGGTGCAGGAGGCCCCCCAGCGCCCTGCCCACAGTCCATCTCCGCCTGGGCTGAGCGCCTCCTTGCAGGACATTCCTAAGTCCCGCAGGGCCCCAGGCAGCAGGGGCAAGAGCCCGTCCTCTTGGGGTAACTGCCCCTCTGGGCTGGCTGGCAGCTACCTAGACTTCCTGCACAAAGACTCCACCTTGACCAGGAGCTCCCCCAGGCTGACCAGCATGCTGCCCCTTCGCCCCCTGTCTGCCGTGGATCTGGACATGGCCTCCAACTCCCTGAGGACGTCTGACAAGGTGGAGGCAGGTCATGCGGACTACCCGCACCGCGTCCAGACCAGGCTGGTCCGTGCCCACAGCAGCCTCGGCTCAGGCCAGCCCCGGAGCCCCCTGGCCTGTGATGACGGCTCCCTGCGCTCCGCCACGTCCACTGTCAGTCTCCTGGCTCCAATCCGCACCAAGGACGTGCGGAGCAGGTAGGCACCTGCAGGGGCAGGCAGGCGGGCAGTCTTGGCCTGCCTATGGTCAAGGGCAAGCTGAGCCCTAGGAGTAAAGCCAGCCTCCCTCCCCTGCCCGCGGCTCCCAGTGCCTCCCGAGGGGGCCCTTCTCCTTCTCTTCCTGTCTTTCCAGGAGTGTCCTGCCTTACAGTCCCACTCGTCGCAGGCAGGATGTACCTCCAGACGCACGCACGCCTTTGGGGGTTCATGGAAGGTGTCTATCGTGAAGACATCCTTAGACTTCCAAATGCTTTCACGCCAGAATTAGTTCCTATTTTAATTCCATTTTTCCTTTTGAAACCCCTCATCTGCCATTCTGGCTTGCTCTGTCCGGCTAGATTAGATCGCCCCCTGCAGGCCGTTGGTTCCTCTGTGTGTGTGAGTGCTTCCCCCTTCACTTCAGCTGCTGCAAAGGATCCCGGGATGTTTGAGCCAAGCTTTTGTTAACTTCCTGGAGGGCTCGGGCGAACACTCGTGTGCTCTGCAGTGGCAGGAGGGCTGCCCGAGCAGTGCGTCCTGGGGCCCTGCCCACACCGCTGCAGGGTGGAGAGCTGGCCACGAGCCTGCTGACTGCATCCGAGTCCACGTGCTCACAGGACGGGCGGGACGGCGGCCTTGGTGCTGTGCTCCCATGGGTGAGGGGTTTGCATCCCAGGGGACACAGGCCCTCCGTTCCCCTTCTCAGTTTGTCATAGGGTGTATACGCTAGAGAGAGACGGGGATGTGAGCGAGACCTGCGGGGGATGGCCATGCTGCAGTCAGTCCCTTCTCCAGTCTCAAGCACAAGCGCCCAGTGTGTTCAAACTACCAGGAGGACCGGGTGGCACCTAGTGAGACCCCTGTGACCCAGCCACTTAGCCGCCACAACAGCAGCTGGCCCTCTTCTGTTTTTTTTTAAGTTGATTTTTATCCCATGAGAGAGCGTGCGAGTGAGCAAGAAAGCCCGACCTGGGGCGATGACCATGCTCGCCGTCCCTGCAGACAGGCCCGGTCTCACGCCCAGACGGGAGCTGTACGACCGGCCACGTAGGACCCAGCTGCCAGGCCCGCCATGCCGCTGGCTCGCGCGCTCTGGTTTGGGACTCTTATCCAGTCCGCCCTTTGGCTTGGAAAGAGCCCGTGTGCCACCCACAGAAGCCACATCTCTGAGGCCAGAGCCATGGAGTCAGCACACCGGGGCTCCACAGCCTGCGGCGCTCATGCCACCCGAGCCTGGTCGCGTCTGGGATCTTGGTCGTGGCAGAGAGAGTGGAGAGAGGGTGCAGTGGGGCCCTGCCTGAGGGTGCCTTCTCCCTCTCCCCACGTGCACGTGCCCCATAGCCAGTTTAACAGTGAGCACAGGCCCTACACACTGCGCCCACCTGCGGGGCGGGGGGAAATAGCCCTGTGGTGGCCCCTGGCCTGGCCTCCGGTCACAGCAGCAGGAAGTAGCCTGGTGCACTGCAGGGGAGCAGGACTGACTGGGGCCACCCCGTGGGGATGGAGGCCACGTCCTGAGCCAGGGCTGCCCTGCCCTTTGCAGCCGGCCAGGGAGCGTGTCTCAGCCTGGATGACCTGACCTGAGGCAGGCAGGGCCCCACTTCTGTGGCAAGGATGGGGTGGAGGTGCTCTTCCCAATAAGGGGCCTCCGAGAGTGGGCGAGACTCGGTGAGGGTCACGGAAAGTTGGGCGTCAGGCCCATCGCAGGCTCTGACATGAGTGCACCTGTGGCCAGGGGGTCTGGAGGTTTGGGCGCTTGTGGCAGGGCCCAGTGATGGTGACAGACCCGGGCAACCAGAGGTGTGCCAGCCCTGGGGCAAAGGAGTGGACCCGGCACCTGTCCTGCCCCAGGGCTGGCAGGGCAGGGGCGTTGCCATCCGACTCGTTTGTGTGTGTCCTTATGTAGAGTCCAGGGGCCTGGTCCTCACCATGGATGCTCCCCGTGCAGCTCCACAACCCCCCTGTCTTGGACCACGCTTCTTGGCGTTGGGCCGTCCTACCCTGCTGCTCACCAGCCCTCACTGACAGTGTGGAAGCCCAGGTGCCTCCAACACCTTCCCGGGACCCGCAGCCAAGAAAAGCCCCAGATGTCACAGGGAGCAGTTGAGAACAGTGTAAATCCGTGCCCTGGACGCACGGGCAGGCCCCAGGCAGCATGCTAGGCTCATGGCCCGGCTTGTGTTCTCTCTGCAGGAGCTACCTCGAGGGGAGCCTGCTGGCCAGCGGGGCCCTGCTGGGTGCAGATGAGCTGGCCCGCTACTTCCCAGACCGCAGCATGGCCCTGTTCGTGGCCACCTGGAACATGCAGGGTCAGAAGGTGAGCCAGTCCCTCCGTAGGCCGAGGTGGAGCTAGAGGGGGCTGCAGGAGGGCAGCCCGACGGCCGACCCCAGGGCACCTCCACTAGCCAGGGAACACCACTTCCCTCGAGAGGTCTCACCCGTGCCTCGCTGGCCACGGGCTGTGTGAGTCACCGGCAGAGGTTGTGACTGGAGCAGGGAGACCTCGGGGTGGTCAGCGAGAAGCCGCAGGGGCAGACTTGGGAGCACACGGGGAGGCGGTACAGGGCAAGCTCAGGTTCCCAGAGGGGAACTGAGGCGAGGGCACCGGCCCACACCTGGAGCCGTGGCTGCTTCTCTGCTGTGGGCAGATGGCTTAGGGGCTGTGCCTCATCCCAAGGACATGCTCGGCAGCCATCCCTAGAGGGCACGATGTGGAGTCACACCCTGCCCTCGGCCTCAGACTGGTCCGTCTGCGTCTTCTCTCCGCAGGAGCTTCCACCAAGCCTGGACGAGTTCCTGCTGCCCACGGAGACCGACTATGCCCAGGACCTGTATGTGGTTGGCGTCCAGGAGGGCTGCTCCGACAGGTAGGCCAGCACCTGCCAGGCACACACCAGCACGCCGCTCTGCCAGCAGCGACGGGGAACTGGAAATAGATAAGGCCTGGCTTTGTGAGCAAGCGGTCGGTTGCAGAGCGCGCGAGGACAGCAGAGATGACGTTGGTCCACGAGCCCAGCCTTTGGGCTCTCGCCGGCCCCAGTGCCTTACCGGCCAGCCCTGCAACATCACGGCCAGTGTCCCTTGCACCTGTCTAGTCCCTTGTTCCCTCCGACAGAGCAGCAGGGTCGGTGTGCACGCTGGGGTCTGGGCTTCCAGGCGAAGTGGGCCCAGCTTCAGTCCACAGGTGCTCTCTACACCCCACCCCTGCAGCAGGGTGGGGCCGTTGCTCTGTGGCCCCCACGGGCTCTGGGAGTGGGTCTGGCGGCAGAACTGGAGGGCCTGTTCTCCCAGCAGCCACTGCTGTCTCGCAGGCGTGAGTGGGAGGCACGGCTGCAGGAGACACTGGGCCCACACTACGTGCTGCTGAGCTCGGCGGCCCACGGGGTGCTGTACTTGTCCCTGTTCATCCGCAGAGACCTCATCTGGTTCTGCTCAGGTAAGCGGGGCGGGCCCGTCTAGTTCTGCTCAGGTAGGCGGGGCGGAGCCCACGCGCAGGCTGGACTCACCTGGGGCCTGGCCCCAGCTGCCAGGGCCCTGCAGCACACTGAGGCCCGTGCCCTCCTCAGAGGTGGAGAGCTCCACGGTGACCACGCGCATCGTGTCTCAGATCAAGACCAAGGGGGCGCTGGGCATCAGCTTCACCTTCTTCGGCACCTCCTTCCTCTTCATCACCTCTCACTTTACCTGTGAGTCCCACACGGTGGTGGGGACACCTGTCTTCCCTCCCTCCTGGGCCACAGCTGGGCACAGTGTGGGGCAGGAGCTGTTCATGGCAGCTAGGGTGTGGGAAACCTGTGTTTGCAGCCGGGGACGGGAAGGTGCCGGAGCGGCTCCTGGACTATAGCAGGACCATCCAGGCCCTGGCCCTGCCTAGGCATGTGCCGGACACCAACCCCTACCGCTCCAGCACAGGTGAGGGCCACACTGCTCCTGTCAGCTCTGCGGGCCATGCAGCGCCTCCTGCCCTGCTCCATGGTGGTTCCACAGAAGCAGCCTCAGAGCCTCTGGGGACCGGCCCAAGTCTAGGTGTGACTCACGTGTCGGTGACGTGGCTCACTTGCCATCTGCCCTCGTGCAGCATGGCCGGCAGATGGGTTCAGGGTTGCAGTGACAGTCAGCCCACGGCCTCGGGACCACTCCTGGCACCCAAGGCCACCCAGCTGCTCTCTGGGTCATCTGTAGGTGGCACCTGTGCCCCACTTCCAGGGGGAGGGGACCTAACTGCATACCTGGCGCCGTCTGCCTGCCTGAGGCTGGGCGCCCATGTGCTTTCTTTGTGCCTTAGCGGATGTCACCACCCGGTTCGATGAGGTGTTCTGGTTTGGTGACTTCAATTTCCGCCTGAGTGGGGGGCGCGCGACCGTGGAGGCCCTCCTGCAGCAGGGCCTGGAGGTGGGCGTGCCGGCTTTGCTGCAGCACGACCAGCTCCTCCGAGAGATGAGGAAAGGTGCGCTGTGGGGCGGGGGCCGCGGGGAGGCGGCCGCGAGCCAGGCTCAG